CACCCAGGCACCCCTTAATATTATTTTTAAAGTAATAAAACATAAATACACTTGCATTTTCCTACTGATGCCTTCTTTTTACTATTACCCTCTTATTCACCCCAGGTTACATTGTGATGGTTATCATTCCCATGCAATTTTAGTATTTATAAGCAATATTTAACAATACTGTAAACAGTAGCATTAATATAGACATTTAATTTTCAATGTAGTGTTTCTGAGATTTTTTTGCATGCAGCTCTAGTTCTGATAGAGCACAGCAATGAATGAGAGTGACAGTATTTATCCACTCACATACCCACACACATTCAGCTTCCCACAGTTGTGCTCTCCCACCACCGTGTTGCAATTCACAACTGTCTGTGACTTGTGTTGTGCACACGGGCAGGTGTTTTGTTGGGCTGAGAGTGGATCTTTCTTTTCTATATCGGCAGGACTTGACGGTTTAAACCCACCTTTCTTTTGACTCTCTTCCTCACTTCCACAACAACCCCTCTCCTGATTTTCTTTATCTTTTCATTGGCTATTCTGCTCAGTCTCCTTGATTGTCTGCTCTGTTGCTTCTGTGTAACAAATTGGGCCTCCTTCAGACTCTGACTTCAGTTCTTTGTTATTCTACACACATGGGTGATCTTATCCCAGCTCAAGGTTTCTACTCTCTATGCATGGATGATTCCCGATTTTATATCCTTATTCCAGAATTTCTCCAAATCCCAGACCCTTAAGTGTAATATGTACAGAGCATTTCCACTTGGATGCCTTGGATGTACTACTGAATGTGTATATTTAAAACTATGCTGTCTATATTGCTGTCATTTATTCAATTGTTTAAGCTAGAAACTCCAGGATTTTCCCTGGCATTCCATTCTCCCTCACTTTCTACATTCTCACTTTTTCTCCTCCTCCCCCTCAGGCCCTTTGTCCTTTCTCTGGCTCCTCTCCCTGGCTCCTTCTCTCCCCTCTCTCTTCCCCCCTCACCTTCTCTGCCTTCTTCCTAGGCATCCCTCTTTCATTCCTTCCCCTCATACTCTAGTCCTTGCTTCCCTGTCCTACTCCTTTTTATAACATCAACAACAAACACGCAAATATTGTAAGAGGCTACCACTTTGCAAGTTTTATTCTTGAAATAAACATCTGCATGTTACCATTTACTTTTGTGACTTTGGGCAAAATCCTGAATGCATTTGCTTCAATTTGCTTCTTCTTTAAGATGGGGATAAGAATAGCACCTAAGCCACAATAATTGTGAGGATTCAATCCTGGTATTTGGGAAAAGATTCAGGGCAGTGCCTGGCACATGGCAAATGTTATATATATCTTCTAGCTGTCATTGTTTTCTACTACTGTCTATTATTATTAGAATGTCTATTATCTGTTTCCATTTTTCACTACTGGAGATTTTCTTTTCATATGAATTATTAAGTAATATTTAGGGTGCTTAGTCTTCTGAAAAAAAATAAGCGAGATTTTCATGTATTTTCTCAGGTAAAATTTTAATAATTGAAAGCTTTAAAATTCCCTTTATAAAGTTGAGTTTAATTTTCCAGGAAGGAGAAAAGATCTTTGTGGGGGAAAGTTGTTGGTGGAGAAACGTTCTTAACAGCTCTGTCAGCTGGAATTGACTGTAAAATATTTAGGAATTTTGTGGCTTGGTTAAAGTATTGGTAGTTTGAAATTGACAATGATGTGAGGCTTCACGCCATGGAAACTGGTAAATGCTACAAATCAGGGCCCATTTATTATCATATCACTGTATAATTTTGCTAAAGACCAGAATCATTATGAAGTTTCATGCAATGACAAACCATCTTACTGTGAGTTTTAATATATCATGGGGGTAAACTGTGCCTGCAAGATTTACCAATTACTATATAGATTAGAAGTCACTGTACTAATTACCCTGTAACTTGGGTGTTATCATCATTCAACATCAAAGGAGGTCCCTTTGTATATTTTGTACTGGTTCCTTTGCTTGTTTATCTGTGTTTTTAAATGATTAGTAACCAAATGAATTTTTGTAACCATTTTGTAAAATAAAAGTGCTGTTTTCCAGTAAAAAGGAAATATATACTTAAAAGAAAAATTTCCCCCATATTTTAGAATCAAGTTAGTGTAAATTCAGAATTTAGAGTAATTCTTCCCTTTTACCCACAACATCCCAATGGGAAGATCTTACTAGGCTCTGGATACTTGTTATGATAATGAGTTGTAATTTCTCTATTGAAAAACTATCTTATAAATTGCTCAACTGGTTGCTTGGCTTTTTTTTTTCCTTACCTAGTGAAAAAAACCACATGTAAGATCTTTTTGAAACTGACTAGTTTGTGGGTTCCACTTCCTGTTGTGAGGAGTAAAATGTATCTTAAACTCACTGAAGTTCTCAAGATTGTTTTCATTCTCTCATGTAAACCAATGTAGGTTTCAAATTCATATACATCAAGTGAAACTGAAACTCCCCATAATTTGTTATTTCTATAATATGCACTCTGTTTCTGGTTGCGGGAAACCGTTTGAACAGTTAATATAGATTTTGTAATAATTTGTCTTAGGAGAAGTATTGTCAGAGGAGGGTGTACTCAATGACTATAAACTCTTTCGCCCTCCTTAAAAAAAGTCTGAATAAAATCCTTTCTCGGTGTTGGGTGCTCACCCTGTTTGAGGTATTGTCCTTCTGCTTGGAGCTCCCACTATCACCCAGCGAGGCAAACTAGCAAACACCGAGGGCTGGTCTTGGCAAAATTGAGACAAAACCGACAGTTTCATTTGGGCTTTCTCTGGAGCCAGCCCTAAGGTTGGATGGAGAAGCTGGAGAGCTCCCAGTCCCACTGGAGCTCAGAAGGGGGTGAATGGAAGAGATTCACTGGTTCGCAGTGAGGAAAGATGGTCTCAGCGCTGCCTCCCCTCACAGGTTCTACAGTTGTCCTCTTGAGACTTTCCTTTCTTTTGTTCTTAGAGTTGCTCTTTTTGTATGAACTAGTGTGATTCACCTTGTTCATCTGGGGCCAGAATCCTTTGGGAATGCCTCTGTTCCCACGTCTAAATTTATTTACTCTCTTCTTTGCCTTTAGTCCTGGATCTTACCTAAGTTTTAACTGTCCAAATGATATATGTATTTGGGCTAAAATTTTTGAGTAGGTACTAACCGATTTCCCTGATGTCAGGTAATTGCATAGTAAAAAGACCCCAGGAGACCATTTGAAGAAATGGTGGGAATTTCAAACCAAGATGCAGGTCAGGGTGGGAGAGACTTGGGGAAGTGGAGCTGAGACTAGGACCCTGGCGTAATCATATGCCTAAATTTTAGTCACACGTCATGACTGTAATAACTCTATTCTTACCTAAAATTTAGGGCAGTTACTGCTTTTGTTCTGTCCGTGTCTCACAAGGATGATTGATTCCTTCAGGGATAAAATTTCTTTCTAACATATGTAAAAAAAAAAAGTCAGTATGAGATTTCCCAGAAAATATAATTTAAGCCCATTGACATCATCATAATTGCTGAAGGAAATACAAGTCCTACTTATCCTAAAAATGCTGAAACTTTTGTTTATTAGTGTGAAGTATTTGCTTATATCTGTAATAATATAATATCATATGACATATAGTCATATAATGTTTTTCAGTTTTTGGAGCATTTTCACATACAATCTTGTTGAATATCTATGAGACCCATAGGATTGGAATTATTAGAAATATCTTGCTTTTACAAATGAGGAAGTGGGTTCTGAGTGGTAAATCAACTTTTCCCTGCATAATAACAGCTACTAATTATGACAGCAAGGAGTTTATTTCAGGCCTCTGGATTTACAAATCCCATCCTATTACCCCTGTGTCGTATTCCCTCTTCACACATATAGGACCATATACAATAGCTGTGTTAGATCAATAGTTAGATATGTAGACTAGTAGCCAAGTACCTCTACAATAACATTTAAAAATGTTGTTGTATGATTGCATGCCAACTTATGAGACCTGCTCTGCAATTATCACAGTGTTTTCAAATTCTCTACTTGTTAACATATAAGATTAAGTCTTTTAAATCTGAGTAAATTCAGCTTAGATATTGTGGAGAAAAAGTGAAACTCCTTTAATCTAAAATGTCTCTCTCTATGCACACACACACACACAGGGTCATTTGAAAGCATTTTTTTTTTGTTATCTATTTTTGCTGATAGTGTGATCTGACACAAATTGTTTAAAATGTATTGTGAAAGATGTGTACTTCAGATATGTTATCTTATGTCTGATTTGAATATTTGAAGAGCTAGTATAAAATAGAAATTGAAATTAATTTATCTTCTGTAAAACACGTGAGAAATATTCAGAGATGCTTAAAGACAGAATGAGTAATTTAAATATGGCTGTAGATAAGAATTTCCTGATAAGGAGGGTTGATATTTACTTCGATGTCACCAAAAGAGGTTGTGGAATTTGTTTTTCTGGGATATTTAATTCATGTGGTTTAGGTATCACCCTATGTGGGGCAGGGCCATGGATTTAATAATCTGATGTGAACCTGTAATATTGTGAGATCACAATTATCTTCCCGGTTCATTGAAATAATTGGTGTTATTTAGAAATTGCAGGAGAAGCAGCAGGATCTGGTTTTTTCCTTCTCTCTCTCTCTCTCTCATACACACACACACACACACAGAATCAAAGGGGAAATATATCATTATTTTTAAGAACTTGAGTGCACATCATCCTGTCCTAACTGAAGTGATAGCACGAAAGCTGTCTGTGGTGGAAACAGGAAACATTAGTGATACATGCCAAGTTACGCATCTTTGTATCTTTCTTCAGGTTCAGCTCAATGTATGCCGATTCTAATTAGCACATTTTGTGCCTCAGCGAGTAGCTCCCCTTTAGCTCTGCTTGGAGAGTTTTTTTTTAGCTTCCATCCTGCTCATAAACACTGCCACCCCCTCCCTCCTTCTCTCTTTACAAATGTTACAACACAATCAGAAATTTCCTCTTTTCTTTCCTTCCTGCATTATCAGCAGGTTCCCTTGCGTCAGAAGCAGAGAAGGAAAACTCAAGGTAATTAGATCTCTTTTGTTTCTTTATCCCCTTTTTGTGTGCATGAGTGAGGGTTTTCTGTCCGATGCCTTCTTTGGGATCAGATTTTTGTCCGTCTTAATGCTAATATCAGAAGGTGGATGGCAGATTAAATTTTTGGTTGTTTTTGGATCGATTTTAAGAAATGACGGCATGCTGTTCATTTGGATTAATCCCTCGGGGTATGTCAATAAAGCTCAGAAAAGCCGGCACTGAGTGGGGAAGTGGCTGTGTTTCGGTGGGCATTAACCCTTCTCCATCTGTTGCATAAGGACTGCTATTATTTTGGAAGGAGCTGTGTTAGTGCAATGATCTGCCTGTCAGCCTCACGATTTTCATTTATTTCAACTTATTCTTGCTGAATAATATTCTTAGACTAACACTTGCATTCTAGTCTCATTGTTTCTTTGGTCCTATCTTGTACCTCCTAAGCACCAAATGAATGCTTAAAAATAAAATAAAGAAACAAGCCTTTTTTTTTTTTTTTTTTTTTTTTGCATTTACTGTGCATAAATCTTGGTAAAAAAATCCAACTCCCAAGAGGTAAACAATTAACAGTTACCTTTCACTCTGTCACATACACCAGGGTAATATGTTACCTACCTCTTCATATAATTGTTGCAGGGTTTTTCACGATGAGTCGGAGGAGGATATCCTGTAAAGACCTGGGACATGCTGACTGCCAAGGGTGGCTGTATAAGAAAAAAGAAAAAGGAACTTTCCTGAGCAACAAATGGAAAAAGTTCTGGGTAGTGCTGAAGGGAACGTCGCTATACTGGTACAACAATCAAATGGTGAGTCTACTGTCTTCCTCTCCTTTTCAGCCGCTTGGACAAGGGTGGATTAAAGAGCACTGAGGAGCAGGTGGGCCCTAAGGGAAAGTTCATTTTTATTTCTGGGACTTGGAATAGAGCTAATAAACAAATAAGTTCTAGAAACCATTCCTGATCCAAGAGATATGTAGGTTATTCTACTGTTATTTTATACAAGAGAAAAATCATCCTGCTTGACTCATCTTTGGTTGGAGAAGGGTGTCCCAATTTATATCCTCGCTGAAGGAGGGTTTCCGTGTCTATTAATGTTACTACTCCATGACAAATTGTACTCATTTCAGGATTTACATGGACAGCACTTTATCTGGAAACTTTGTGTTATTAAGATTTCTACAAAAAAAGGGCATCAGCTTTAAGACCTGTCGGGGGTGTAAATTGATTCAGTCCACAGAACGTATTTTCCTTTCTCCTTCTTTACTGTGTTCTCCTCTGCCCTTCTTTATCGGGTGGGTTGGTTTTGGACTCACTAACCTGCACTGTGTTGCCGACTGTTGGCTCTTGCACCTTGGCACGCTAAGTGATGGCATTAAAGAGGGATGATCAGACAACACTTGAAAAGAAAGTTGCCTAATTTATCTTTTTTTTTTTTAAACAATTTTTTTTTTTTTTTTTAAAGATTTTATTTATTTGAGACAGAGAGAATGAGAGCACATGAGAGGGGGGAGGGTCAGAGGGAGAAGCAGGCTCCCTGCCGAGCAGGGAGCCCGATGCGGGACTCGATCCAGGGACTCCAGGATCATGACCTGAGCCGAAAGCAGTCGCTTAACCAACTGAGCCACCCAGGCGCCCTGCCTAATTTATCTTTAATCATCAGTACACTTCTGTGGTCTGCTTCACAGGCTAGTTTTCTGTTGGGAAGGGCTGGAAATAAAGTTATTGTTAGAAGGTTTGCTGATCTTTCCTTGCTGGAAACATTTTGAGGACAACGATGTAGTTGAATAGTGAATGAATAGAGATTTTTCATATAGTAATTCTTTCTACTAACCCCCAGTAGCCAATTGCTGATCTCAGGAGAGCTGGAGTTTCTTTTGGGGTCTAGTGAAGATCAGCAATGGATGTCCTTTAATCAATTAAGGGGAAATTACTTAGGGATTGCCCATAAGCAAGATTTTTTTTTTTCCACATGACACCATTCTTCTGAAATGGCTTGTGGATGCCCGTCATTCAAGCAGCAGAGCTTTAGAGCATGTAACTTCATAAATGTAAGTGCTGGGTGTAGTTTGTTGGTAAGATTTTTAGTAGATAAATTTACATTCATTGGCAATTAGTAAGAAATTTATGTTACCCATGTGCCCCAAGCCACCTGTCCTATAAAGGTTTGGTAAGACTGGACCCAAATCCAACTCCAGTGCTCTGGAATAAGCGTTCTCCCTCCCACCCTCACGCTTCTCTCCTTACAACTCCTCCCCAGTCCCCTGTTCTCAAGCTTATTGCTTTGGTTTCACCCCATGCAAAACGTGGTACAAAATCTTTCACTGAGTTCCATAAAAATATATTTTTTTGAGGCTTCAGTGAGCTTTAACAACTTTATTGAAGATGTGGGAGGGTTGCAAGAAAGAATCACCTTGCAGAGTATGCAGTATCCCACTATGTCCCTTCTCTCTTTTCATCTCCCCTTCTGGATACAGTCATCATCTCTTGTTTAAGGTGGAATAGTTTCACCCAATTTAAGACAACGTGGGACTGGGGTCTCACTTTCTATCCTCAGGAATTGTTCCTAAATGAACACAGCTTTTTTCTTAAGAGGAATTAAGGTCAATATAAATTTCTTCCTCTTGTTTCATAATATTTTAGGCTCTTGCTTTTGGGTAGTTGTAGCAAGTGATAATCTGAATCTTTTATAAAATGAGAGGACTTATTGATACACCTTCTAACACCCTCTGGGAATTTCCAGAGGCTGTTGGAAGGATTGGGTGTTGACGGGGCATGGCACATCGTGGTAAGTAACAAACTCAGATATAAGTATGGCATTAATTTTCTCAAACAAGTTATTCAACAAATATGTTCTGAGTGCTGTCTTCATAGAATTTAAAGGAAGCCCCCTCTGAATCACACATAGTTACAGATTTGGCTGATGTGTCTTCATTGGCTCATTTGGCTAGAACTTCTCTCATAGCAGCAACTTACAGGACAGTTACCTATTTTGGGTCTTAGGAATCAACTGCTTCCATAGGGAGCAGAAGTGTCGGCTGAGACGAGATTTGAAAGAGGAAAAGGAGAGAGCATCAGACACACTCAAGCATCCAGTCCTCACTTGGCCCTCATTCAAATCTATAAAGCAGTATTCAGGTAGCAAATCATGTATTTAAATAGAGTTAGATTAACAACATTGAAGGGAGAATGAGTTTACTGTTATCTGGCCTTGGAATTACCCTAATAAACTAGTGGTATCTAACAGAAGGACCTTCTAACTCCTCAGTCTATGACTCTGTTATAGAGGAATTCTCTCTTTACGCACACACATACACACACCCCCACAAGAGTGAGTGTACATGCATACCCTGACATCTTAATTATATGTTTGTTACAGGGGGAAAAAAAGGCTACTCAATGAACACTTAATTAGCAGTCATATTCCTGGTATCTGTGTGAATGTCAACTGTGAAATAAGAGCCAAACACATATCCTCAAGCTAGGAACATTTATTTACTTTCTGCCACCCAAGGAATTCAGAGTAGCTCCCAAGGCACCTACGCTTAATGAGCAAACTTCTTGTTATTCTCCCTTCCCTAGTCCTTATTTTTTCTTCCATGGCCTGATGCTGGGAGGTAATGGAGCCAATAGCCGCCCAGCAAGAACCACCTCTTATTGAATGCCTACTGTTATGCTAAGGGATATGCTAGGTGCCTTTCACACATGCTCTTTCTTCTCAGAAACACCCTCCGAGGTAGTAATTGTCACCATGTTTTGAAAGTTGGGAAGGCTGAGACTCAGGGAGATGGTGTGCGTAGCCCCAGGTGACACAAGTAGTAAAGTGGGTAAAACAGATCACCTTAAGCCCCTTTGACTCCGCAGCCAGGCTTGTTGCCATATGCCGGCCTGACCCCATGCAGACACCGGGATAAATGACTGTTTCCAGTAGGGTTCTGAAGGAACAGCTCTAGAGATGGAAGCTAGGGCAATTCTTACATGAATGTAGGACAATCTCATGGGATCCCTTTGCTTGTCTCTATTGCTCTCTGACACTACCTGAGGAGAGGTGTCACCCTCACCATTCTGGACACGTCTCTGTTGTACTGCTACCCAGTGATGGAGGCATGGTGTACCTTCTTCCTTCATGACACTTTATGCTTCAGACAGTCCTACCCGGATTTCCTTGAGAAAGGTCAAGTCCAGACACTCAGCTGCCATTTTCACACCCCGTATTACGTGCTTAGACTGTGTTACAGCATGCAAGAGTGCATGCCAGGTCTTACAAAACCATATTCAAGTTTTACACCCATAAAAATCCAAGCTGGTCACAATCCTGCATTTGCAATCCGCACAACTGTTTTCCCTTTCCCCTTGGATAAAGTATAAATTTCTTTCCTTGCTTGTGAGAGTCTCCTGACCTGCATCTCTCTTATTGTGCCCCCCTCCCTTTCGCCACTCAACCTTCAACCACAGAATTTTTTTTTTTTAATTCCTTGTTAGCATCACATATACTGACACTCTCTTTAAGCCTTTTCGCACATGCTGTTGCTCTGCTCAGAAAATTGTTTGTCTCCATGCCCAAGTCTTTCTCCCACACAATCCCACTGACCTCCTCAGAAGTCAAATTTTAGCTTAAGTAGCTTTTCTTCTACATGGTCTTACTTTATCCTCTGACCTAATTCAGAGCGCTTCTGCCTGTTCCCATAGGCAGCTTATCTTTTTCTCAGTTTTATACTCCTCTTTCTCTTTTGCATGTGTTTGTTAGGCTTTCTGTTTTGCATAACTGATAATCTCTGTAGGACAGGACCACAAGTATACTGTTAGTGCGGTGTCTGACGCTTACTAGGCACTCAATTAATATTTGTTGATTTCATATACTATATAAGGTTTAGGAGTCATCAGCATTTACATTACCCCTGGGAATTTGGAGAAATGGGATGGTTAAAGACTGCTTTTGATGGAAAGTAATTTTCCAGTGAAGAGATTTCCACTTGTATTCTTATAAATAGATAGAGGAAAAGCACAATTTGAGATTTGCTAGAAGGCCTCCATGATCCTAAGTAGGTCCTGCACATTTGCTCCCATTTGGTGACATTTTAGTAGGGGCTATTTTTCTTAAAGAGTATTTCTAACCATGTCTCCTAGCTGTAAACAAGGGTCTGTTGATCAAGATCACCATACTGGGGGCAGAAATGTAGAAAGGGAAATGGCAGGTTTCCCAGGGAAATCCCCTGCGCTCCAGTGCTTCACCTGGATTTCAGGCACAGCTGGAGAAGTTTGGGACCAACTTCTCTCTGGTGAAGGAGGAGCAAAGTTCTGAGTGACTGTTTTCCTTCAGGCATGCCACTGTAAATTAGTGACAAGATAAGTCCTTAAGATGTTGTTACTTAGTTATTAAAACTATCTTACATTTTTAAGGTTTTAGATTTTCCCAGTTTTGCTATAACTTATTTTTCTTTTATAAGAATTCTTAATTAAAATCTTGCTTCGTCCCCTGGGAAATATATTTTGGATTTTATTTATACCCTAGATTATAAAGTAAATGTATATTATATAACTCATTTAAAATTAGTGAAGTTCTGAAATGTTTCTATTCAGAGAACATTTACTCATCTCAGCAGTGTATTTTCTTACTTTATCCAGTAGCATGTGTGGACTATTAAAATACATCAAGGGATGTATACATTATGCTGGTATACAACTTGGAGGCATTGCCTAAACAATTTAGGCTTTAATTAACAAAGCACAGTTTAATATTAGTTACAGAGAATTGATTTAAAATTTTTTCTTTTTTTTGAAGATTTTATTTATTTGACAGAGAGAGACAC